CATACTCAGATTATTCTTTTCAGTCCTTTCTCACAGAACTGAACTTTGAGGAAGAACTAGGGACTGTGTAGGCTTCACAGACCTCTGCTCTCTTTTAAGGCAGTTGTGTCAATTTGAAAACCATTGATTTACAGGAAAATGGGGTGGGGGCTGAAAGTGAGGAGGGAGACTAAAAATGTCTGTGTTACAGGATATGAGGGTAGAAGAAAGGTAGAAATATTAAAAAATGTATTATATGAGGAGTGACTAAGGCAGGGTACTTGTTGAAAAGTTATTACTTTTATAAAGGTTTGTGCTGAAATCCACACCTGGGTTCCACACTGTTACTTTCAAAGGTAACAGAAGATGAAAAAATAAAAATTCTTTAGAAGAAGTCTGGCAAGGAAACATTAGCTGACTTATCCCACATTATGTTTAATTAGCAGAAATTACGGCATTTTAAAAAATCTCATTTAAAATGGATACTATGATCCCTTTAGGAGCATAATTCTCTTCAGTGCCTTGTGTGGTATAATTAGTACTTCTCTTCTACTTCTGTGTAGACCTGTATGTTTGGTTTATGTTATATTGAACCTTATCAGTCATGGCTAAAATGGGGGAAGGAAGTGGAAAAAAAAGTTTTGTGAAGTATCTTCTCCATGTGAGCTTTAATGTTCTCAAAATTTGAACATCTTAATGAAGAGAAACTTCTCAGTGCTGCATGTTTAAGTATGTATTTACAAGAAAAATCTTCCCCTCTGCAGAGGCAGGTAACTGAAGCTTTTCCCCTCTAGTGCTTGTGTTTTTATCGGCCGATACCCAACTGTTTGTTATGTGAGTGGTAACTTAGTGAAGTTCTTGCAGATGGCAAGATATGTGGGTTTGGGTTTTTGCTTGGGTGATGTGGTTGTTTTTCTTTCTGAGGCAGTTAATGTTTCCAGGAAGTATGGTAATAATTCCAAAAGTTACACTTGTCAAAGTGACTATCGTTAGATGAAATAAATCAGTTTAACAAGGAGATACTGATGGTCTTCCGAATAGATCAGAAGTAACATATTTGCCTACCAGTGTTTCCGAAATACATGCATTCAGGAGAACCTCGCAAGAGCTCACTGAACATTTTATTTCCAACTGTGTTAATATAAGATTGATCTTTATCTTTCCATGCAGGGGAAAAAAAAGTAATTTCTCTTGGTTTAAGGCAAAAATGTTTAGCATTTCTAATAACTGAGTCACAGATAACCCTTTGTCTATTTTAGCTGCCATATAGGGCTGTTTTCAAAGACACTTGACATGTTTAGTTCATGTAATAGATCAGAAGCATGAGCAACCAAAGGTTTAAAGAATTTTACACATGGTGTATTTTATTTTGTTAAAACACTGTTTAAGAGCAGGCAAAACTGCTGTCAATGAGAAGGATTTAGATGTATAAATATTATTTAGTCACTAAAGCATGATGTAAGCTAGATACTTTTATAGTTTTGGATCCACATTTTAATGCAATTTTTTATTTAATATTTTGTTCCCTTTATTAGTAGTTACAGTGCGTGTGGTGTGTGTGTGTTTTTGGGTTTTTTTCTAATAATAAAGTAAGGTCATTCTAGCAATTATAAGCGTAGTATTTGGGCAAAATTTAGTATAGATTTATTTATCCATTAATGAATTAGAAGGAATTTGTGGCCAAAGTGTGTATTACTGACCTTGCATTTTTGAAACATGATGTTTTAATTGTTCTATTCATGTTTGATTTTTTGAATGATAAAACCAGGAGCTTGTATTGTCAAAAACTAGGATTTCAAGACAGGATTTGGTATCACGTTAATCCCTATGAATGTGGCAAATGTAAAACAAGTGGATCGGACTGCAAAGCAATCTTTTGAAATAATTACTCCATATAAAAGCTTTAGGTGAGAACTTTAATTACATTACAAAATATGCAAATAAGTAATGCACTGAAGAAATACTAGCTCCATACTACAGTGACTTACATAGTTTGAATGAAACAGTAATGTCTTTATTATGAATCCTCAGCACTTAAAAAAAAAAAGTATTTTCTTTCCTTTGTTTAGCTGTGCTTCATCTGTGACTTCCATAACTAGACGTCCTGTGCCCACAGATACGTATTTTTATGTAGCCTTCTTTTGTTCATTTTGTGCAAGAGCAAAAAAAAAAAATCTCTAACAACTTGACTCCCGTCTTAAAGAATAACACACCGTAGTAGTGAAATAATGCTGCATCCGTTTAATATTAAGCATTTTATTTGAAAAGAAAAGAATCGCACATGTGCCAACCGTTGTAGAAATCCTCCATTGAAATCAGTAAAAAGTAAAAAAATCATTTCGCTGATGCTGTGACCTGTAATAATTTTTAAGAAAATGAAAGTATGTGCTAATAAAAGCCTTTTGTTAAGTGTTGAGTGGTTCTTAAATGAAATCTCAGTAATGCAGGAGAAGGAATTGCTTTGTTCCTTCTGGCCTTGCTAAATGATAGCAAAGAATTTCCTTGCGTTCTCAGTTGACTAGAGTGCCAGGTAAATTAGCCTTGATCAGTCATTTAAATCTGTGGCTAGTTGGTAGATAGCTAGTTCTATGACTTTCTCTAAGCCATCACCTTGTTGGTGTTTGCCCATTAGTGTTTTTATTTTTTTCAATAAGATCAATTTAAATGAAAAACATTTTTTGGCTGTTGTAGTTACAAAATTCTCTTTTACTCCTCAGTAGATCTCCCTGTTTCCTTAGGTCATTCTATGATTTTATTAAAGTTAAGGCTTTAAGTTTGGTATGTTATAACATAAAAAGGTTGAAAGTAACTCAGGAACATAAGTTGAACGTTACAAAAGCAATTAGTAGGGGTTTTGTTGAAAACTGAACACAAACCCAGGAGAAGTTTTCATTGACTAAAAATACAAAATAATACATTCCATCTTAATATTTATGTCTGTGTAGACGAAGATAGTCTTGACTGTGGTTTTGGGTGTAAATGTAATAAATAAGAAAGACTACAGACTATGTTTAATTGGGCTTTAAAATAAAGATCAATAACACAGAAAAGTCAATTGTTGCAGCTTTACAGCAGAGTCGGAAAGAGAGAAACAAGACTGGATTGAAGCACTGCAGCAATCGATAGCAGAAACACTGTCTGATTATGAAGTAGCTGAGAAGATTTGGTTCAATGAGTCCAACAGGAGCTGCGCTGACTGTAAAGCTCCCAGTCCTGACTGGGCATCCATCAATCTCTGCGTTGTCATTTGTAAGAAGTGCGCAGGTAGAGTAATTAATGATGGGCCATGTGGATTCCACAAAATGTCATATTTGCATACCTGCATATGTCCTTGAATTGGCTTTTTTCATTTTTACAGTGCCATCCTTGTGAAAGTTTTGACAAACAGAAAGTGAATGTAACTTTTATATATATACACACCAAGGTTATCCTTATTCTAAAGCACTTCATGCATAAATGTCAGGTCTGTAAGGTGATTGGTTTCCCTCATATGAATAATCCTTCACAATTAGTGAAAATTAAGATACACTAGCACTTTGTGGGAAACGGCTAGCTTTCACAAGGCTGGATGCCAAAGGCTAACAATTTTCAGTGTATGAATTAGGAGTATTAATCCTATTAGATCAGGGCATATTTTACTACCAATCGGGATAGCTTTTTCAGATACTACTAAAAATCTAGTTCTATTATGTTTTATATTTAAACATGTGCATAAACAGTAGATTCAGGGAAGTAGCTTATAAATCTAGGCTTTCTTTCAAAACAAACCCTCCAAAAGGATTCTGCATCAGACAGCCTATTTTGGTTATTCATTACTATCAAATGCAAATCACTTTTTTGAAAAAATTTTGGGTTTTTTGTTTTAATTTTATATTCAAATGTCAAATCCAGCCTTTTTTAAAAATAGTAATTAGAATAAATAAATCTGTCCTCATTAAATGTGTATGTTATGTAAGCAGATGAGGAACAGTGTTTAAGTGCTTTAGTTAAGTAAAAGTACTCTTGGATTTTCAGGACAGCACAGATCTTTAGGACCGAGAGATTCAAAGGTCCGCAGTCTAAAAATGGATGCCAGCATTTGGAGCAATGAACTTATTGAGGTATGTTGTGATTATTCGTTGTTCCATTTTGAAAACTACTGCATGCATGGGAGTTACTAATTGCTTTGTTCACAAGAAAACAGAACATATAGGTGCTAAATAACATGCAGCTGTTAGAGCAAACTTGATGATTCTGGGAATAATGTACCTGTGGTGTGTCATTCAAAATGTAGTATTACTCGAAGCATCTTCTTTTTCTTTTTCTTTTTTTTTTTTTTTTCTTTTTTGGGGGGGAAGAAATAAAATGCTTTTGAGAGCAATCATGATGGGCAATATTGGGAACAGAAAGGAAACTCACTACCAGTTTAGTTGCTTGGGGTGTTGAAAACTGTTGATGGTAGAGAAGGTTGAGTCATCAGTGTTTTTCTTTAAAGCGCTAGTCTTCTCTGACCTTTTACTGGTATTTTCTAATATGTATTGAAATTTTATAACTGGTTAGCCTTGTAAAACTTAGTTGCTGTTGATGGTAAATGATGAGTAGAGTCTTTATTAGTCATTTATCGATGACCATAAGCAGTGACTGAGAAAGGCTTCTGTCTCCTGCAGGCAATTTTCTTTCTTTTAATAACTTTCTTTTTAGCAGCAGAAAAATATCTAGAGGCTAGCTTCATATACTTTATGCTATTTGGTTTATTTTTTTTTTTCTTGCACCTCATCCAGCTCTTTATCATAATTGGAAATAAGAGGGCAAACAGTTTTTGGGCAGGAAATCTTCCTCCAGATGAAGAACTGCATATGGATGCCCCTGCAGAAAAAAGGATAGCATTTATTACACAAAAATACAAAGAGGGAAAATTCAGGAAAACACCTTTTCTCTACAAAACCAAGGAACAGTTGAATAAGGTAATGCTAGAATGGGTAAGTCCATACTGTAACCTTTGTTTTGTATTATATCTGTGTGCAATTTGGTCATCGTGTTAAACTGGTGAGAAATAAATTCAGAATCCTGAGTGACATTCTCATAGAGCTGAAGGAGGGTTGTTTTGGAGCCTTTACAGGACTCGTTTCATGATTACAGGACTTCTTTCATGATTTCCTAGTTTCTAGCTTTTCCAGTTAGTTTGTTTGTAGAAGGTTGTTACCTGTATGGTGCCTGTAATATGTCTTCCAGAGTCATCAATGAATAAGGATCTTGGTTGTTTTTTTTTAAAATGCACACTCTAGGGATGAAAATTCTCACTTCACTACTTCAGATTCCTTCTGCAAGTATTTTTATACCTTTTGTTTGGCATCTAACATTCTGGTTGTATTGGGTTTGCATGGCAAGGTTTTGGTAGCAGGCAGTAGAGGCAGTGCCAGCTGGCTCAAAGACTAACCTACTGCTGTCCAAGACTGAGCAAATCAGTCAGGGTTGTAGCAACTCTGGGATAACATGTTTAAGAATAGGGGGGAAAAACATGAGAAGAGCAATTGCAGCCAGAAAGTGAGTGAGCGAGATGTGAGGGAACAGCTCTGTGGACACCCAGGTCATTGGAGAAAGAGGGGGAAGAGGTGCTCCAGGCTCTGCAGAAGAGATTCCTGTGTAGCCTGTGGTGAAGCCAGCTGTGCCCCTGCAGCCATGGAGGGTCATGAGGGAGCAGAGACCCACCTGCAGTCCATGGAGGACCAACGCTGGAGCAGGTAGATGCCCAAAGCAGGGGTTGTGACCCCATGGGAAACCCACACTGGAGCAGGCTCGTGGCAGGACCTGTGGACCCAAGGGGAGAGGAGCCCATGCTAGAACAGGTTTGCTGGCAGGACTTGTGACCCCAGGGGTGACCCATGTTCGAGCAGTCTGTTCCTGAAGAACTGCTGCACTCTGGGATGGACCCATGGGGGAGCAGTTTGAAGAACTGAAGCCTGTGGGAAGGACTCGCGTTGGAGAAGTTGGTGGAGGACTGTCTCCT